GCTGTTTTTCATGTTGCTTTATGTTGAAATTTGGTTATAATGTTACCACAGCGCAGTGGTTAGTTGCGGACAGCCATTCCGCTCCTACCGTGGCGCGCGCGTGTGTGCGCGTTGCTGCGTATATAAATTGACTTGATATACATGCCCTTAAGGGAATGATATAGCTACGTGTGAAAAAGACACGGTAAAAATACAAAAAGGATTTTGCTTGGCAATGTTGTTGACTTGCACCCAGCAGCTAGCTTGCTCCGACCATAAAGCTGCTGTTAGCGGCTCGCTGTGCAGTGAGGTGTCAGACACTCTTACTATGCTATATGGCACCAAATTACTTCATTGATGAAAGATGCGATAATACCGCTGAGTCTTAACATATTGCCGTGGTGGAAATTACTTCACCCCGACAGCCCTAACTGATAATCATGTTTTATATGATTTTTATTTCTGCTTTGAAACTTATAAATACATTATGGTTTCAGAAATCATGCCCATGCATCCACGAGTGGAAAGAAGTAACTGGGAAAATTCAATCCATGTAGCAAATAACATTTCAGTTAAGGGGGAATTACAAGTGCCTAAAAATATGGCGGAAACTGATCAACTATGAAAAACAAACATGTGCCTGAACTTGTTAAATAGATTAGTATGTGTTAAGAAATAAATGTGTATTGGATATTTGGCATCACACCTTGTTTGTCTGTTAATTTTATATTTTATGTCCCTATGCCTGTGTTTTTTTTTTTTATTGTGTTTTCATAAAATGTCATCTTAGAGCTTGCTTACATTGTCTCAAATATTGTTTTTTCAGTTTATTGTTTGCTTTTTCAAGATGACAGTAAAAAGATCAAGTATGACAAAGTGGCTAACCTTGCCCAGGAAGTGTTTCCGGTAGATTGTAGCTGTTGTGTTACATTCCAGCTTGGTGCGGGTGTTCGGGGACAGAGGCTGCAGCTGTTTTGTGTCCACTGTGTCACTCAGCTCATAGTTAGTCCCTTCAATCCAATAACCCCCAAACTGGGGCAGGAGGATGAGAGGAAAGGGGCTTTTTCTACCCAAAACCTGTCCAGAAATTCAAAATAACAAGGGTTGAAGAATGGAACGGTGTAGCTGTGAAAGTACTTTCAGAAGAATTTAATTTAATTGATTTCTCAGTGATACACAAGCACTGATTGTGAAAAGTACTACTGCAGCACATTATCATTCTACCTCATGGACACTTGGGTATGGAATATAGTCCTCCTCAGTCTGAAAAAATAGAGAAAAAAGCTTTGTTTCTTCATCAAAGAATACAAAGAAACACACTCTATAATCCCAAATGACATTGTTACAGTGTTATTGCATAACTGTAATGCAATGAAAATCAGTTTGGCAGCTACAAAGGAATCAATGCATGCTTGATCAGTAAGTTTATAGCAGTAATTATTGCCATTATTTGGCACACTGATGGTTTAAAACACTGTATTACATTATCAGCATTTCCTGTTCCATCTGCAGAACATAGCATCAGAGAATATTTGATTTTGAATCCTCGCTAGCTCTGTCAGTATAAAAATGATGGCAAGCCTTGAGAGCATTGCAATATGCATAATACTGTGCTACTGTCCGTGAGCTGAAGTAATCAGCTTGTCTGGCAGAGCAAGATATGGTGAAGAAGTTGTGAGACAATGACCGCATCATGTGAATAATACTGTCTCTACATGGAGAGTTGTACCTTCAGTGGGGGAGGAAAGGTGCATCTCTGCTCATCCATCCTGTTGCCCTACACGAGGACAGGGTGAGATAAGAAAACCAGAGAGCGAGAGAGAGAAGGGTCACACAAAGTCATCAACACAGCAGCTGGGTTTGCATTAAAAAAAACCAAATAATTAAATTCAAACCCCTGTAGGTAATTGGATGTACAAATAAATCTACATAAAGAAGTGATAGATTCATGTTCTAAATGACAACAACAAAACAAACAGGGAGAAAAATTTCAACATCATTACATAACAACACAATTTTCCCAAGAGATATGCAGCAGGCAACAAAGCAAAGTCACAGACGGACAGATGGAAAGATACAGAAAGAGATGAATTACATACACAGAGAGAGGACACTGAAAGACAGTTAGAGGATGCTAAAGAGCAGGCATTTGGGAGTGACTGAAAAGTCTTTCAGCACACATGTGTGGTAATAAGACCCCAGGGATTAAAAAGATGAAACACCCATTGGACTTGAGGTGTGTATGTGTGAAAAAAATCAAAGTCAACGATGCAGAGAAAGAGACGCAGTGATACTAAATTACGGCTAGGTGATAGCGCCTGGCATCAAGGAACACGATACATCATATCGATATGTTGGGGAAAAGACACTGTCCTGAATCACACACCCTGCTAAAGAAAAATATTTATATTTTGAAAATGCATCGAAGCCAACACACACTGCCAGACGTGTAAAATGTTGAAGTCACTGAAAGCTATTGTAATTAATTTAATATAAAAGACCAGTCATCAAGAGTTTGGATACGCCCCATCATAAACATATGTACTATATATGTATGGAATCATATGTTTAAAATAACAATCCTTCCAAAGCTTTCAGAAACCAGGAGACAGAGGTGAGATAATAAGCTTACAGTGCTGTCAGCCAGTGTTACAACAAGAATGTTAAGAAGAGACGCTGAGACACACATATATTGCTCTGGCAACTCTCCTCTGTAACCACCAGAATCAATTTCCTTCTCAAGAATAGAATTTACAGAAGTGTTGTAGTCGAGGAGAGGGCCAGAGTGCTGCAGAATTAGGAAGAGTCACACTGACTGGTTAGTTTCTTGGTAAGTGCAGCTTATAAAGCCGAGCCAAAATACAAAGATCCATTCATCATCTTACCTGCATCCTTTCAATAATTTCAAATAAATCTGTGGTCTGGAGAGAGGAGAGTGAGAGAAAATGTTTTGAGTTCATTTGTTGGGTGCTGAGGTTAATTTATTTTTACAGCAGTCTGACAGTTACAGTTCAGCCATGTTCAGCAGTTTATGTGGAGTCTTGTCACACTCCATCCAGTGAGGAAAAAAAGCTCAGTTTTTTTGATCATACTTGCTTATTGCTGTATGTGTAACGATAATAACAAGTGCAAAATTTACATTTCCCTCCTTCTTATTAAAACCTAATGTGTAGAAAAGTTCTGAAGTGGGAACTCTTCCCTTTGCACAAACTGAGCTTTCACATTTCATAAAAATGACAAAATAATGAAATGTTATTAAACCAAGGAAATAGGAAATATTTTGTGTATTATTTGCTATATGGGTTGTTGCATGAATAAATATTCCTTTTGTTTGCTTAAAAGTCATTACACACATAGAAATGTACAATATGTTATCCTATGTGGTGACACAATCTAAATGGACTTTTTTGGGATTTTGGAAGGTTAGTGCTGCATAAAAAGTACTGTCAACACTAATCAGATATACTGTACAGCATATGAAAATCCACTGTATTTAAGCAGGTTTTACAGCTGGGAGCGAGAAATTCAAGACATATCAAGGTTATAAAACAGCTGTGTTTTTTGAGCCGTTAAAGAGAGTCCAGGATCTCCATGGCTCCACACAGAACGTTATAGTTTATTACTTACATTTCTGTCAAATATTGAACATTGTCATTCACGAAACCCATTACAAAGTGCTATTATTTTAATCAACATTTTACCTGATTGCAGCATGTGACCTCTCATCTCTCCCATGTGGTTTGTCACATTATTACAAAGTCATGCATGACTTTTCCAGGTTAAACCTAATTTTTTAGATCCCCAGCCACAGCTTTTGGGGTAGTGTCCTTTAAATTTTCATATTCAAAACTTGCATGCATCAGTTAAGCATGACAACTCTAACTACTGCAAAAAGGCTGAAAGTAGTCCATAGAAACATCGGTCTGGAGTGGTCAAATGAAGGCTGAAAGGTTCCGCTTTAAACAGTTTGTGTACACAGCAAATCTCGTTGTTTAGTGTGAGTATGAGTAAAGTCCTCCACCATGTGCAAACAATAGTCCGCCACAAACCCTGAAAGTAAATAACGCCAGCTTCAATAACATTAACCAGAGGTTAGAAAAAGAGGACCTTTAGTGTTGAGCTACATCTTATCCTTGGATTCAAACAACAACTGCATTAGCCATAAAGCCATATGCCATGACATATAGCACCAAAAAAGCACGAATAAGTCTGACCAAATCTTGTCACCTGTTTTTTTATACTAACAGAGCACCTAATATTAGAACTAGAAATGTTCTCCTTCAAATAGACATTTTTCTTCAGCTCATCAATTCAACAAACAAGCAAGATAAACTGTCAGGTTTTGAATTTGCAACTTTAATCTCAATTTGGAGAAGAAGTTCTCCAAGCCTCTGCTGAAAATGCTGCCAAATTCCCTCTCTAGTTTTCCATCCAGTGATGTTTTCCATCCAGCATGTTTCTAAAGTAAAGCTACTTACATTGCGGGGCTTTTTCCAGTGTGCCTTTGTCACCTTTGGAGCATTGAAGTGGTTGTCTTGATTTTTAGCCATTTTTAACTTTCCTTAAAGCAGTGATCTGCAGCTTCAAATGACGTTCCTCGTCTTGGCTGACTTCAACAGGTTTGGATTAAACTCAGTCTCAGATTGCTGTGCATTTGTCAAATGACAGAGAGTTGACTGTGTCCCATAACCGAGGTAAAGCTGCATCCCTGCTAACTGCAAACATGACTGACAAAGTGTTAGCTCATACAAAGTTGAAGACAGGATCCGCTGGCTTCTCCCAGTGCGTCCTCTAAACGTACAAGATTATCAGCAAGTGTATGTCTCAGGTTGCATGCAAAGGCAGCTGATAGTGCTTGAAGTTTAGAGTAGTAATCCTCTGACTGCAGCTAGAGGTGTCTTGTCCTCTGCTGATCCTTCTTTGTCAATCTCTCTGTGTAGCAATGCAGGACGAAATCCAAACCACATATCATCCACCTCTGTTTTTATCACTAAGGCTATCTTGACTTAGGCTGACAGGTAGCTGGAGGTGGAGTCCAACTCTTCTACTCTCATAGACGTCCTTTATCAATCTCCTGTTCACAGAGGAACTATATTTACTCTTGAGGGGGGAGCGTGTTCTGCGCTGATAAAATTCAAGACTCCGGTAAGACTCTGTGTTTACATTAATGAAACTTGGTGCTCAAACGCAGTCAAAGTGAATAGACAGTGTTTACCTGATGTGGAATTTTTACTGTTAAGATGTCAGCCATGTTATCTGCCCTGATGATTCACTAGTGTTTTTGTCGTCGTTGTTTACATTCCTCCAGATGCACATATTTTAAAAACTGAACATCACATGACAAAACAACCTGTTGTTGTTTTTATTATAGCAGGTGATTTTAATCAAACAGATCTTAGAACTGTTCCTGAACCTAAATTCCACCAGCATGTCCACATCCCCACCAGGGGAAGCAATACTCTGGACCTTGTCTACACAAATATTCCTGGCAGCTACAAAGCCCTCCCTCATCCCCATTTTGGTCAATCAGACAAAATTTCTCTACTTCTACTGCCCACTTACACTCAGCTGATTCAAAGGGTCAAACCAACAGTAAAATCTGCTTTGAGTGCACAGACTAACATATGTTCAGAGAGGCCGCCACCCAAGACAGCCACATTAACCTTGAGGAACATACATCATCAGTGACATCATACATCAACAAATGTGTTGATGATGTGGTGATCACTAAGACATTAAAATCACTACCTAATCAGAAAGCCTGGATGAATGGAGAGGTGAGGGGTCTTATCCAGAGCCAAAAAAGCTGCTTTTAAGTCAGGTGACAAGGAAGCACAGGGCACCGCCAGAGTGAGACTGAAAGCCAAAACCTGTTCCAATCAGTTAGCTGGTGTTATTACTGACATTTCTTACATATCACCTTCACAGGAGAATGTTCCCACCTGCTTCAAGACAGCCACCATTGTCACCGTACCTAAAAAGACTGCAGTGTCTAGTTTGAATGACTATCTCCCTGTGGCACTGCATTCTGATGAAGTGCTTTGAGAAATTGGTTCTTAAGCACATAAAGGACAACATCCAGCCAGCCTGGACCCTAAATATGCCATCTCCACTGCCCTCTACTCAGGCCTCATACACAACACCTACATCAGAATGCTGTTTCTGGATTTCAGTTCAGCATTCAACACAATCTCCCCCATGAAACTGCCTCAGCACTCTGGGTTTGAGTATAACACTCTGCAACTGGATATTGCACTTCTTCACAAACAGACCCCAGACAGTTCAGTTTGGCAGCCACACCTCAATACCGGAGGCCCTCTGGGCTGTGTGCTCAGCCCCCTCCTGTTCACGCTGTACACCAACAACTGCAACCCCCAACATGTTGACAACTGTGAAGTTTGCGTATAACACCAACATCATCGGATTTCAAACAACAATGAGGCTTCGGAAGGAAATTGATAATCTTGCTAAGTGGCGCAGAGAACAACCTACTGCTCAACAGCAGCAAAACCAAGGAGCTGATCAATGATTTTTGGAAAAAGGAGATAAAGACACACTCCTGTTTACATCAGTGGAGCTGAGTTGGAGCAGGTGAACAGTTTTAGGTTCCTGGGAATCACAGAGAATCTGACATGGTCATCTCACAACTCCATGCTCGTGAAGAAAGCTAAAAAATGGCTGTATTTCTTAAGGAAACTTAAGAAGGCAAAATGTCCATGCCAAATTCTTGTCACCTTTTACAGAGAACCAATAGAAGGCTTCCTGACTGGAAACTTCACCAATTGACATGGGATGTGCACAGCCCAGGAAAGGAGGGATCTTCAGCGGATAATTAAAATCACTCAGAAGATCTTTGGTACCCAGCTCCGAACATCAGTGATATGAGTGAAGCGAGGTGCCTGCACAGAGCCCAAAGGATACTAAAAGATAGTAGGCTACCAACCCCAGTCACAGCCTGTTCACCCTGCCGCCATCTGGCAAGAGATCCAGAAATATCTGCTGTCGCACCACCAGACTACAGAGCAGCTTCTTCCCCGAGGCTTTAGACTTAAATTCATCCTGAGCACTGAACCATGAAAAATATTTTATTTCTGTATATCATTTTTATAATTTATGTATATAACGTTTACTTTGTAGCTAAGGGAACTACAAACTGCATCTCATTTTACAATCTTTTTGTAATAGGCAAATAAATGTACCTTGTACATCATCCCTTGTATATGGACAGTCCAAATGACATTGAAAAATTAGGAGATGATCAGTAATAAACACTGATGGAAAATACTGAGATGGATAGAGTAAAGGAGACTAAAGTCTGAAAAGGAATCTAGATACACACACAAACTGCAGTGGAAACAAAGTGGAGACAAACAGCAACCTTCATTGCAGCAGAAAAACATGTGGCAGAAATGACCAGAGTGGAGGAGGTGTGGGATCCACAGGGAGTCAGGCTAACACACAGTGCAGGTGTCAGAGCTGAGACCTTTCATTATAAGAGCTAATAGGATTGTCATTATGACAAGAGGCAAATTAAATGTGCAAGACCTCCTCGCTCCTCCAGACGTCTCAGGTGCAACTCTAAGCGTCTTCCCAGAGCTCATTAAAACTCTGACCAGCAGCACAAGACTGAAGAATAGTATGAATAGAATATATTTTTGTCTTTTTCTTTGATGGACAATATGTCTAGGTCTGAGTTCTGCCTTTTGGTTCCAGCTAATTTAAGGTTGTTTAGGATCTTACTACTATCACAAAACAGGTTGTATTTAAAAACAATGCAAAAAAAACATGTTTGTGTTAGGAACCCCAACTCCAAAATAGTAAAATAACAATCTGTGTGTTGTTTGGTTATGCACATTATTAGCATCTCAGAAATGTCTTGAGATACATACTTTGTTTTTAATTTGTGTGTGGAACGGTATTCTATAGCAAACTCTGAAAATAGATTTTGTGTTTCCTCTCTTAGAAATGTGCAACAATGTTACTATGACAGCATCGTAGTGTGGTTTGAATTAGGCAGTGACCATAAGACCTGGTGGTGTTAATTGCAGATTGACCTGGTTTTCGCAGGGCTCTGATTAAAGTGATACACTCCTCTGAGTCTTGCCCCACTAAGCCCCTGTCATACTACAGTGCATCACATTACCATGCTGTCCCTCAATATCCTTATAAGATACGTTCCTTTTCCTGAATTTCAAATCAAAGGGGTTAAAATGGAGTTACAGAGATCAAATATTAAATATAACTTACATTTTTATTAATTTCCCTTTAGGGAGTAGTAGCGTTTTGTTCTGTCCAATTACAAACCCATATGTAATGCACTTTTCTGTTGTTTCTCCTACAGGATGTAAAGAAAATGGGGAAAATACTATGAACCAAATCTGGAATACCTTCATCTGTGCCTTTACATGTGCATTTGCATGACATAGAAGCCAAAGACAGCCAGTATTCTGTAGATGTTTCACAAGTCCTCTCCTCATGTCTGACTAATTGTAACTTGTAAGTCAGGCACCTACAGACAGTGTGTGCTGCAGGGATCAGGAGTGACTACCCAATCTCCAAATTCTCCTTTAATCCTTTTCTCTTCCCACTCCCTCTGCTCTACTCAGATCAAGTCAGACTGCAGGAAGTGTAAGCCCCATCCAAAGTGTGAGATCTTATAAAACCAATCTGACATGAGTGAGATAGTATCCACTTTTTATCTTCACCAACCTCAGCTTTTTTCAGTTTTTAAGTACCCGAAATATCCCAAAATAGATTTTTCACATCAGTTGCTCATTATAATGATAAGACGTGAAAGGTAGACATGAAGATTCCAACTGCAAGATGGATTTGATAGGTACTGTGACAGTCTAAATAAATTCGTTGAAAGGCTTTCTCCTTAATCATATTCTTCCTTCATTTTTATTTTGAATGTACAGCCACATCAATTTCCCATTATCAGAAATCAGAATCAGAAATACTTTATATATCCCCAAGGGGAAATTTTTGTCACAGTTGCACACTTATCAAAGCATAAGGAATAGAAATAATGACAGAAAGTAGGTAAAATAAAGAATGTATAAATATAAAATATAAAGAAAAATATAAAGGAATGTGGGTATGTACAATATCTACATTATTAAAGAACTGTTATGGTATTAAATATGGCATTTATACATATGATTTCCTCAGAAAGGAAGAATAATACATGAAATGAAATGGGGGGAAAAACCCTGAAAACTGAGCTGGAGACAAATTGAATTCACTCTTAGATTGAACTTACAGAGTATATGGCAGAAAATGTATCACAAGCTAATAAAAACACTTTGGAAGTGCACAAATCAGCACATTTTAGCTTACCCTTTTAAAAAGCCTCCAAAATGTGTTGATTATTTTTAACTGACACTGAACTGCTACTGAAGTAAAATTGGCTCATCATCATCATACGATTGCATTAAAACAACTGGATAACAATTGAAGCCCACATAAAGACTGATTAAACATTACTGACTTTGGTGGGGGCGAAGAAGTTTGTCTTTTGATAAAAAAATAACTATTGCTCAGACAGGCTGTATTTTGTTCACTTTGATAGAATAAGACTTGTTAGGCTTGGATTGAGAAATTGTCAGCATCAAACTGACAATTTCCTGCTAAAAATAAATTTGTATTAATTGAATCAGGCGCACATAATCATCCCAGACACGGAGCTCTGTGCACTCTAATTACATAAGTTAAACAAAAGAGGACAAGAATAAAAATCAAAGTAACACTGCAAGCAGAAAGTCTGGGTCTGATACAGTCGTGACAGATTAAATACACACAGAACACCGAGCCAAGTGGGTCCAGACAGAAACAGGTGCAGAAACAAGATGCGTAGAGACACAATATCGTAGAAAGAAACATCAGGGTCAGGGGGTCAAAATGCAAACTCAACCGAGGGGGTTCTCCTCCTACCTTGTGGAATTGTGAGGTGGTGTATGGAAGTGTAGGCTGGAACAGCTGGGGCTCTAGTGTTGCAGAAATTCGGGGGTCGCTCCCATCTTGTTTCCTGCAATCAGACAGATTCAAGAGAACATTCAGTCAGAAAAGGTCACTCAGTTTGAGATCAAGCAAGAGGACAATAAAAGGTAATGCCTCAAGAAATGTTGCTGGTCTAATTTAGCAACAGAGTGCATTTGTATAGACTAGGGGTCTTAGAGTTTAAAAAATCTTCTAGGTTACCACTCCATTCTATTTTATTTATGTTTCTAGAAAATAAAGCACATTACCACATAGTGGTGAAATGACATGGTTTACAGAAAATGTCCAGACACACAAACAAGGACCTCTAATTTACAACACTGTAAAAAGCAGAGAATATAAACTGCAATTAAGATCTCTATGAATCAGTTCAGGAACTGTAGCTATTTTTTCTAATATGCAGTGCCCTAGTGATACAAGGTTAAACCTGGTGCTTAGGTGCTTTTTTCATGCTCATTCATTTTAAGACTGAACAAACTGGCCAGTTGTCAGTTGTCTTTCATATAGAAGTTATGTCTGACAGTTAACAGTAAATAAGTCAATAAATGATTTCTTCACTGTGACCATCATTAAGGAAAAAAAAACAAATCATAATTTGCACATTCTTCCTTTCTTTTAGTGCATAAGCTGCTATTCACAAACAATTCAGGGATCTAGGGACAAAATACCCATAGTTTCACATTTACTCAAACAGAGCATCTTTCTTCTCCAGCCCAGGAGAGCAGCACATTGCTAATACCGAGCTCGACTGTCACGCATCCTTTGCTCCATATCTCTACCAGGACGGCTTTATCCCCACAGGATCACTGATCAATACCCCTGCTGAATATGGTGCCTTATTGACACTGACAACTGGCCAGTTTGTGCAGGCTTTCAATTGGTTTGATTAATTCGATCAATTTCAAACACACAAAGTGGTCGATGAATATGAAAGTGGATCTGAATAAAAAAAAAAAAAGTGGATCTGAATGATAATGAAGCAGTGAAAGCGGAAAATGTTTCTTGTTGGCTGTGGTGATCAAAGAAAGTTGTGGCAGCCACAAATAAATACGTATCATGTATCTTTGTATCTACAAGGTGCTGTGTTCTCTAGCAGCCAAAAGTTACCAAGCTCCACATGCAGAGAAATATTAATCAGCGCATTCAATAACTCAATGAGACAAAATGGACAACTCTTGAACTCGAAAACAAAATATTTTTCAAGTAGATAGTGTAGCTGTACACTGAGTACACAGTAAATACATCAGTGTGTCGTTCATACCATTTTACTTTCACAAGTGAATATATGGAGCTGTGTTGGTCTATCACTGAGGATGTAGATAAGACAAACAGCTGCTTAAGAGGGACAGAGACCGAGATGGAAATCTGTTTTCATGTTCTGAGTGTACTCAGAATCAAATATAGGTGAAGAAAAGAGAGTGTGAATCATTAACATACAGCTCTGTCTGCTATTACACAACGAAGTGAATCTTCAATCAAGAAAGTTCCTGCATCACCCAAATAAAATGTGAACAATTGTGTGAATATGGCCCTTTTCTCAGCAGGCTCAATAAACATGAAAGAGCCGAGGCGGGAGCCCCAGCAGCAGCTCTCCCATGGGAGAACAGGATACGATAGAGCATCAGCTGCTCTGAACTCTTAATTATAACTAATGCACATTAGATGGATGCAGGGCACACACACATACATTCATGTGAAAGAAAAAGCTTTCATTTCTAACAGTTGCTTTGTAAATAGACATTGTATTATATCAAAAATAATTGAGGTAATACTTTATATATCATCTATATCTCACTCTGGCAGCATCAAAACACACATCAGAGTGAGAGTGACAGATCATTACAAACTCTCCCTTCATCACAGGCATGTTGTGCATCACACATTACATGTTGCTGTTCACACACACACACACACACACACCTGCCTGCTCTGTGCGGTTACTACGTAAGCCCTCCTGCAATTCAGTTTGCAGCACTAAGCTACAGCTTCATCCCAACACCACAACAAATTACATAACACACACCAGCTGGTTAGCAATGCACCACAGAAATCAGCTGTGTGAAGAAGTCACAGCGTGCCAGGCAACCTGATGTCCTGCATAGAGCGGAGCAGCAAACTTACTCACACAAAGGCAACTGAACACTGGACGCTCCCTGGGAAGTCCGGACAGTGACCCAGCACTCAGCCAGATGACTCACTGTCTACGCTTCTCTTCTAGTTAAGCATCTCACTCCCCCCTCCCCACCTCCCCACCTTTCACAGTTTTCTGCTCTCTGTCTCCGTTTACTCTTCTCTCTCACCAGCTTCAGTCGGCTCACTTGCTGCTATCCATCAGCCGTTCACCTGCTGGCCTCACTCTCAGCTCTTTAGACTGTCGCACACTCCCAGAGAGCGTCCTCTCTGCCGCTGATTCTCCTCCCTCACTCTCTCTCTCCTCCCACTCAGTGTCTCACACACACGTGTGCTCTTTAGTTGTCACTTCCTCCATCTCCAACCTCTTTGTCTACTCTCAAGCTCACACAAACCATGATGTGGTACATGTCCAAATCCCTGCATTCTATACCACAAACACCAGCCCCAACCACCAACACCACCACCCTAATCCCCTTCAAAACAGGAGACCCTACCCCCACCATCCTTCTAGGGGACGACTGAAGTCTGCCGCTCAGAAAGTGAAAGGAAAGCAGGGTTTATTAGAGAAATGGGGGTTGCCTTCAATCCCCAAACTGCCTCACAAGCCAGCTAGGGCTGTTGCTGTGGCAACCACATCAGCCACACGTGAAAAAACACACCCACATGCACAATCATTTTCATTATGATATGACTTGAACAAGGTGATTATATCCAACATTAAATTCCCAAAGGTGAGCAGGCATTGCAGCCTCCTAAATGCTAATTGTGCAGGATGAGAAAGCATGTGTGGAAAGCTTTTTAATTACTGTAATGGGTCTCATTCAATCCAGTGAAAATGTGTGTTTCCTCCACTAAGCTACCATCATTTCCCAGCAGACCAGTGACTAATGTCACCAATAGTGCTTTTTCCTGCTAAATCCCTGCTAAATAACAACAAGTGTCGACTCAACTGTCCTTTCCTTAGACAGCTTCTCAATGAATAAGTATATAGGCCTACCTAGGACTAAAGTTTGTGCATGTATTTGTGTGTGTGTGCTGTATGTGTCAGACATGAAGAGATAACAAGGGATTACAGCACAGTCCTCATACTGTGCACTATTAAGAGCTGTGTATTGTGATAAACAAAATAAATAATCCTCTCTCTGTCCAAAGCTTTCTGACAAAAACCCCCTGTATTAAATCATTGAACAAAACTTTAACATTGCCTAGATTTGTTGAGGCATCCTGCTGTAGTGGGGGAATAATCTCTCTCAATCTCTCTTTTAAACCCTCGCACAAAAGCTGCAGATGTCACAAATGCGGTTCAATCTTTTTGGAAGAGTTCAGAGTGGGGTCAAAAAATTAAATTGATGTCTGTAAGGGCTTTTGTCAATAGTGCTTATAGATAATAAAAAAAACCACATTATCGGATAAGAGGCAGATTTCGTAGAGTAGTGTTTTAACATGGATCATTGCAGCTGGTTCCCATCAAATCAAAGTCACATGCATTTAGAATGAGAGTCTGGGACCTCACTGAGGACTCATTGAGGACTCTCTTGTATGCTGACAATATAATAAATAATAACAGAATAAGAAGAAAATCCTAAGTGATGTGGAGCATTATTTTTATCTCCTGTGGAGGAAGATAGTTTAATTTTTTCGTATCCTCACTGCACCAAAATCCTCAGCAGAATCCAAAAGTTGCCCGCTGCCAGGGATTCCCATCCCATTAGCCTGGTGAAATGGCCTATGGTCACTCCCTATCCTGCCC